CGCAGCTTAGGTTTTTCACGTCTTCCCCTGTGGATTTCCGGTGCGTATCTTCTCTTGGTTTAAAGCAGCGGTTACGTCTGGTAGAAATGAACAAGACAGTAATCTAAAAACTTTCTCATTCTTTGTATGTCACTGTATAATGATATCAGAGTAGAAAGGACACCTGACATAGGTTCGTTCTTCATATTGCCTAGTATTCTAAAAGTATGACGCAAAATAGCTGTTCAGTTTGGACCAAACTTGCATACCCCATGTGTGTAGTCCCATATACACATTTCTGCTTGGAGTAGTTGTGACTTTTAGGAGGATTGAGTCAATTTCTATTCATTTGGATCATTACAAACCTTCACAGTATACATCATTCCTTATGTACTATACAATCGACCTTTCCAAAGGTTTCCAGACAGCTTCTTTTACAATGTAATCGCACGATCGAGCAGAACTCGGCTGTATCTTTAAGATGAAACCAAATCCTTGAAGATATCTCGAGTAAACCTTCTCCACACTCGGCAGCTTTCGTCGGGACACTTTCTCTTTATCCCCGTCGTTGATGAGGATGATCCCAGAAGACGCTGACCTCGAAACGTTGTAGTAATCTCATCTCATTATGCATCCAGAAAGCTAACGGCTCTTAAAAACCCTTTGAAAAAAAAGAGGCGAATATGATTTGATATATTCCCTTGGTGATATCCCATGTTTGTCAAACCAAAGTAAAATATATTAAAAGGGCTCTCAGCGGAGGGATAAAAGTGAAAGGGAGCCAACTCAATGATAGTTAGAATATCCCGATAAAAGAAAGCCCTGAGAAACTATCATTATCAGAATGGAGAAAATGAAAGTAAGTGATTCATAGAGAAACTAAACGACAAGCATGTATGAGATGAACAAAATGAGTCTCTTGAAATAAATGGAGGACTCGGCGTCCATTTCTTGACTTATGCGACAAATATAATAAATCATTTAAGTCTAAGTCTCAGATGTGTCATATTGTCGTTGATAATATTTTCCTATAATTGCACAGGTCATGATTTTCTCTTAGAAAATTTCTGACTCCTGCGAAGAAATCTATATTTTGATTAATGCAACCAAACATGGAAGATTTTGGCAGTGAAAGGGAATGTACACTACACGATATGTTTGACAAGTTATGTTCTTCCAGTGGCCATTTCAATTGGTTATTACCAGAACTTTGTAGTAAACAAGGTTTTATTTCTGTGATTCGATCGGTGGCTATCATCGGTTGTCATGTTGGATGCACATTAAAGGTATTCCTTGCATCCATAATTTAGATTTGTTTAAAGACCATCTGTGAAACAAGAATCCGCCATATCTCTCTTCATGACACTGATTGATGTTCCTTGACGCAAAAGAAGAAGAAAAACCCCAACTAAAACCAGGCTAACAAGAAAATATGAATCTATCATCATTTGTCACCTTACAAGTAGACATTACATTGATTTTTATCTCTTCTACGAAGGATGTAAGATTTGCGATTTTGTGCTGGCGGGATTTCAATTGATGGGTTTCAGCTCACATCGAATCTTACCTTGTCACAGAAAAAAAAAAAGAGAGATCCTTGATCATTTTGTTTGATCAATAAGTACAGTCGGGAGCAGCTGTTGAGTTAAAGAATCTTGAATTGAACTGTCGACTTGCTCATGACGCGTGATGAAATTTGACAAGATGCTTTTGTCGACACCCGGTCGCACCAGAGTCGCTACTCCACCATTTGTCATGCTTTACATGGTGAGGGGTTTAAACAAAATTGCCGACTAAATAAAAGCTAGAAGTCAAGAAACAAAGGGTCCTTGCAACTGGGTTCGAAAGAAAGAAAAAAAAAACGAGAAATAAGAAGTGAAGAGTCCTCAGATTTTTTCAATTATGCAAGCGTAGCTCCAAGAGACGCCAAGCCTTGCCGACGTGTCAGGATTTTTGGACAAGAAAATAATGAATGGGGGTGTCACATCCCGAGATCTCCCACCGGCTACGCCACCGGTTCGTGGCTGTACGATCAATACTGGGCTCATTTCGTTGACGAAGCTAAAGGTAAAAGAGGTTGTAAGGTATGTTTGTACCGGCATGGACTCATTAAAATGGCGCTGAGTCTCTGAAATGATAGTTCAAGTCACTTTTTAGTGTAATATTGGTATCTTTGTATACCATTTCTGAGGAATAAATTATATTTACACTTATAATCATATACATATAATGAATGTACACGGTTGAAATGTGGGCGTAAAAATCTAAATTCAGAATATCAGAATTGACTAGTAAAATAATTGACAATAGTCAGAAGCGTAACGACGATTACGATGTATCCAGAGCGGTAGAATAGCTGTATTAAAATTAATCTTATGATAATTTGATAATATAAACAGTATATGTCTTATTGCAGTCGACTCTTAGGTAGTGCGATGCTAAGTAAGTTTACAATAGGTAAAACACTGATAATACTTTAGGTGCTTTTATGTGATAATGATGCTGTTCTATCCTTCATTAGCATTGTTAGAGTGTTGTTTTCGTCCAGACATGTCTATTCTTCTGGCCCTTTCCAAGGCCGCTCTTCATTAAATCTTTAACATGGGTTCGCCTACTAATGCAGTGCACGGCATTACGCCATTAGCTCGGTTTGAATGTTCTTCTAAGTTGCAGCTCTGCACGAAGAGATTGGGAAGCAAATGTAGGATCGAATGTTGAATTCGTTATTGGATTCTCAATGGAGGAAGAATAGAAGCGAGACGAGGAAAGAAAATGTGGGCCGATGTCGTGTTAATGTGTTAACGATGGGGAGTCAGATGAGAAGGGAGAGAAAGTGTGTGATAGAAAGAGAATAAGAGAGAGAGAGAGAGAGAGGGGAGAGGGAGAGAGTAATGTCACGGGAGAGATAGAGAGAGAGAGAGAAAAATAAGGATAGCAGCAGGGGAGAGGCGGGGATGCAGATACAGAAAAAAGGAAGAAGGAAAAAGGGAAATACTGAGGGAGAGAGGGGAAGCAGGAGAAGGGCCCGGAGATGCAGATACAGTGAGAGCGATGGGGGAGAAGAGAAAAAGAGAGTACAATAGTCAGGGAGAGCATGGGAGAAGCAGCGGTGAAGTGGGAGATGAGGATACAGCGAGAGAAGGAGGGAGAAAGAGAGTGATCATCAAAGGGAAAGAAAACGCACTGGTAAAACAGAAAGAGAGAGAGAGAGAGATAGAGTGGGGGAGAGAGACAGAGATACAGAGACAGAGAGAGGTGTAAAGGGAGACTTGAACAGACATGATGCGTGACCATACAATACTTCGAATCTGAAATGCATTAAGTGAAACATGATCTGCGAGCACATTCAGTCCCCAAAAGGAAAGCACTCATCTCGAGGAAAGGTATAGCAGCGAGTACCAGCCGACACCAACTTTCTCCAAAGTGCATGCCTAAAGTCAACATGATGGAGCAAAGAAAAAAAGGGTGTTTTTCTGAATCAGAAGAAGCCGAATATTTTAATGTTTTCAGAGAAGGCCCGTTTTTATCAATATCCCAGAAAGGTTTGAACTATCATGTAAAGATGACGTCGCGTTTCTGTTTATATCTCGCTTTCTTGGTGGATACGTGCGCTATATAAATATCCAATAGTATTATTTTTATTTGAACTATCATGTAAAGATGACGTCACGTTTCTGTTCATATCTCGCCTTCTTGTTACGACGAATGTGCTACCATTTTTGAGGTAAAAATAATCGAATTGACTGTACGAAACGTTAGTCATGCAAAATGTGATGATAAACAAGAAATATGTATTGATCCCAACGTATTGCATTTATTCACGCGGCACTCCTAGATCTTCACATCTCTGTTGCCGACAAGCAGATTACACCTTCACGGTGCGTGTTACCCCCATGCCCGTTGGACATGAAGCGTGACGCTAAACTGCGTCAGCAACTGACGTAGCCTTGAGGTCGCCGTTAGAGATAACAATCGTACAAAAATGATATAAAGTTAAATGCAAAATGAAAGCGCAAACATCGAGCTGAATAACTGAATAACTATCGCTAAAATGCAATTTGATTTGTATGGTGCAGAAGAAAATATATTTATATAAAATAAAATCCTTGTGTGCAACGTGCAATACCTTCGATGGCTTAGCTCAATTAGCGTAGGTAATGACGCAAAGATATCGGTGCCTCGTATATATGCGAAGGGCATATTCTCCTTTCCGTCTCGAAACTCACATACAATAACTGTGAATAACACCACCTGAGCCTGAGGTGGTGAAAGGCACAGCCGATCGTCTGCCTCGGCCCATGGACGAAAAAAAAGTACAGCGCGTTAAAGAAGGCACTGAGCAGCTCCATGAACCCTTTAGTCGCCCTTCCTAGACATTATTAGGGCCTAATTGTAGGCCATTACGTCTAATGATACTCTGGGATGGGAGATCCTAATGAATCCTCTTAGGGTAGGCCAACCCTGCCTTCCGATGCAAATCCGCCAATAAGTCACATTCTAGCCTCCGGGTCTTCATGTAGTGCAAACAGCAAGCCTTGGAAGTATATGTGCCATGATCTAAATACGTATTCATTGAAAGTGAGATGTGCATGAAATGAATGAACATCATATATTATGGATCCAAACCGGAAAACCAATTTGTGGAATGTAGTATATTTCCATGGTGGAACTTGTCATCATTACAAATGTAATGTCATTTTTAACAACATAATGCATACGGTTTCATGCATATACATGTCTTTCAAATTTGAATAACATTAATTACACTTGAAATTACAGTAAGCATTTTCATGCATTTCTAGGCCTCTGTGAATCTTTTTTGCCCTTTTGTCTTGTCTTTCAAATTTACTTTTTGCACAAACTGATCAATACGTAGTCAAATTAACGTGAAATAATCTCTGTTATTTTCCCGATCAAATACGAGTATCTTTCAAATTTGTTCAGAACTCAATGCTTTATGAAATCTCATGCCATTTAACAAGCATTATGAATATGTTTGTATTGCTTATCATTCTTTTCAGATTTTGAAATGAACCAGATATCGGGTAGTTGAGTTTCTCAAGGGTACAGAAGAGCAGCCTGTTATCAAAACGGGTAAATCTGAGGGTAAGTCCGTCAAATTTTTCTGTCATCCATTATAAAAGAATTCATGATAAATTCTATAAGGTCGAAAAATATCATCTTACCATAAGGAATAGTCTTCGAAGCATGTAACTGTTTTTTTCTTTCTTGTCGTCTGTTTAGAGCAAGAAAGTTGTTAACTCCTTTACTTTATTACAGAGATAATGCTCTTCTGGTTCTGAACATACGAATTACAGTCTGCATCGAACCAAACAGAAAATTGCAACTTCGTACCAGCTTTCTAATTTATATATTTTGGCATCAAATTTCTGTATCGCGTCGCGATATTTCCCAAGATCCTTTACACTTCAAGTTCGTCCATGGTCATGATTGCATTTGCACACTTGCGGAGGCGTGTTATTGTAATTAGACAGGGCAAAAACAAGGATCGTCATGTCATAGATGGAGTACTAATCAGATGGGAATAGTCTTGATATATTTACCATGAACGTAATGAACTTACGCGGTTCACGTGAGACCAGATGCACATGCAATACTCCATCTTGGCACCCTTGTCACACCAAGATACCAGGGGGTGTTTCACAAAGAATTTAAGTCTAACTTAACTCTAAGTTGGACTCAAAAATTATGGAGAGCCATTTGTAGCCTTAAAATGAAATATGTTCAAAAGCGAAAATTGAAGTTTTTCAGACTTTTCATAAATTCCACATCAAGAACGTGATATTTTTCTCGATAAAAGAAAATATGAATGATTTATCAACATTTTATGCCTTTTAAAATAACTTTTACAAAATGTTTTTTATAGACGCTAACGGCTTTCCATAGTTTTTAAATCCAACTTAGAGATAAGTTCAACTTAGGATCTTTGTGAAACAACCCCCCCCCCCCCCCCAGAGCGTATAACATATGGTATTACCACCGAACGGAACAAAATCGATCGGTTTGGCAGTGTGACTGAGGTTTTTATCTTGGAGCTCTTCCTAGGGAAATCGAAATGAAGACAGACTACCATGACCACCTTCACATCCATCACCCTTTACCAACCCTCATCCCTCAAAGTCAATTACGCTTTAGGTAATTTTCAGGTAGGAAAATTGATGCCCGTTGCACAAGAAGCGCCATTTTGTTGACGTAGGGGCTGACGTTTAGGGGTTGACGTAGGACTGTCCGCACGCTTGCGGTTTGACGCAACGTGTGAACGTATCTCTGTGCAAAAGGTTAATGCAAAACGAACTCTGTAAGTCAATGCCTATATACCAATGCGTTGAATTAATCTGCATGTGTGCTTATTGTCTTCTCGGGGTTAAATTAAAGGCGGAGGTATTGACGCAATCCAAATTTCGTTTTCTGACACAGGCGTGAATCGTAGAGTCAAAGTGTATCTTAGGTTGAACTACGTATATCAAAGGACTGGGGTAGGAAATTTTTCTACATGATGAGGAAGAGTTACCAGCGGAGAAAAGTGAGATAATCGAGCTTAAATTCCCAATCCGCATGCATGAAATCGCGGTTTCACATGAGTTTTGATTTTCAATCATAATTCTAGCTGGTTTTCGTTACATTAGTAGTATTAAGGTGGTTAGAAAAATATATCCGTTACAAATCGAAATTAAATGAAACCCGTTTGTCCTATAAAAAGAAATGCAAGTTTACTATACAATAGGACCTAACACTTAATAAAAAAGACAGGGGAGAGAGAGATGAAGAAAAGAAATAAGGTTTAGGGAACAGTGAAAAGAAGGTAACACAATATTCCCCAATCCAGGAAGGGGAAGATCCACCCTGATAACATGTTGGTTTTAATAGAAGCAGAAAACAGGTCAGTGAAAGTTTGAGCAAAATCCGATTATCTAAAGAAATTCTAATCATGAATGTTTAAAATTGCAATCAACAAAACACAAATTGGCAACACTGGCAACAATTTTCTCTGTACAGAAAAACTTCATGAATTTTCGTTTTCTTAATGGTTAATGATGGAAAACAATTGTTTCATACATGGAGCTGTATAAAAACAAATTATATTAAGGGTGGATGTATGATTTGTTTTTAATTGATTGATAATAGAAGTTTCTGTACTTTAAAAAAAAGTTACAAATCAAATGGAATTCGCCTTGAAGGCTTTTTCTTGTATTTCATTCACTAATGTAAACCGCCATCTTCCCCCTCCCGAGGGAACAGTGCCCCCTCAACTACGGGCCTCACGCCATGCTACCTCTGTGATATTTCATCGCGTCAATTTTTACCCATTATGAAAAATGTCAATACCGCTACTGAATGCTTCAGGGTACGTCGACGTTCCATTGATTTGTTTTTCTTACTTGATTCTACTAGTTCTGCTATTTGCCGATCATTATTCATACCTTCTGGTAATTTTTCGAGTTTTCTCATTTTGCTTGAAAGCCGGAAAGAAATAGAGACGGTCTATCAGACAAAAAGGATTGACGATCGTATATTTAGCAGACCTCAATATGTGGAATATTTACAAACTTTAACCCATTAAAATGTTTTGCGAGAGTCAACGCAAACATAAATACTTGATATCCATTGAATAATTTATCCGATGGGTTTTTATTTGAGTACAACGAGATGTTCCTGTTATTTTATTTATACGGGTGAATGACTTGCAGCCAATCACAAATGTATTGAGTCTTTAAATATTTACACCATCGTGTCTGCATGTAATTACACACTGAAGCAACATACACACACACACACACACCACACACACTCCAGACGTGTCACATACACGGTCCTAAGCACGCACGCGCACATGTACACAACTGAAGAACGAAGAACATACATGTACCTCACATAATTATAGGTAAGCAGTAAACATAGATGCACATACATTTAATCGCACATAAATAACGAGAATCTCCGTAAATGAGTTTCTGAAATGCAAAATGGGAACATTCCGAAAAGTACTTAATTAAAGAAGCATCACCTGGAACGAGAATTTCATGTTTTCAATATGCACAACCCAGAACTACTATGAACCGAATCATTCTCTAGATTTCCAACGAAGAAACAAGGGCTTATACGAATAATTCTTAACTCAGGAACTAGATCCATTTTGTTTTAATGTTTAAAGTCCATTCTGTAAATCATTTTATTCTTCAGTCATCCTTTTCGAACGAAACAAATGCACATTAAATCACTAATACCCTCGTCCATTCTTTTCTTCCCCCCCCCCTCCCCTTCCCTCTTTTTCTCTTTCGCTCTCATTTCCATCTCTTTTCTTTCCCATTAGAGGATGATATATTACAATCCCGTTACAAATAAATCGTCATGTTCATGTAATGAATTACCCAGTCTGGTTCAATATGAGCTTGTTCCACTGGTAAAGAAAGGAAATTGGTTGCATTTCGCCTATGATATGCGTATCCGCTGGCGTATAAATTGAATGCTTCCTCCTGCCCGAGGGTTCTTAAGTGACACTCGGAAAAAGTCTTTGGAAAGGGTAATGCCATGCGATTGTATGACTGCATCATTAAGAAAGAAAAAAAACTTGACCATGGTAGAACTGTGATCTTGAAGGAAGCGGAGATGCTCTCGATTTGCTTTTATATTAAGATTGAAGACCAACCAACCAAATAACGAGAGTAATTTTGGCGCCTCCATGCAGTCGGCCGGCGACCTGACTGTAACATCGCACTGTATAAAAAAAATGAAAAATGCGCGCTGTACGTTGAACTCTGCGGATGACGCCTGCTCAATTCATTTGCTAAATCTTGCGTGCTCTTTTGGGCAGGGGATGTTGGCTTGAGGATCTATGTGTGAGTGCCACAATTTCATTAGGAAGATCAAGAAGGGTTGAGTTTATTCAGGTGGATGGTGGTTGGCTCGTTGATTTCCATGTGTGAAGGCTGTACCGAATGTTGGTTGTCATTTCAATGTCCTCAGCTCACTTGGTGAGGAAACGGTTTTCTATTTTACCGCTAGAAAGTGTAACACTTTGTAACATTCAATCATAGAAACACCAAGCAAAACAGAAAAGCAACCATCATCCACCTGAATAAACGTAGCTTTTCTTTGATTTAAAACCTGGGAGAGTTAGAGAGTGAAGTGAAAGAATAGGACAGGGAAGAAAGACGTAAGGAGAAACAGAGGGATTTCTGTAAGCCATTCAAAATGTTTTAAAGGGACGTTAAATGTGCCTTTGCTGTGACTTCCGGAATGTACTCCTACCTAAAAGGAAGACTGAAAACAAAGATTGTTAGGTTTACTAACAAGAAAATAGATATACAGTAGGTTTGCGGGTGCACCATGTGTGAGAGAGAGAGAGGTTTGAGGAGTCCTGAAAAGGACTCTGACTCGGTACGTGTGACGTCCATTCAAGCAGTGCATTATAAGGACGTCGATCGTAGCAATCCACGTTGTCGTTGTGCTATCCGTCGTCTCTCCTGACGACGGATAGTCAACCTGTTCGAAACGTCGAGCCACTCATCCTCTCCAAGCACTATACTTCTCCTGAGAACTATATGCTAAGAAAGATAACAAACAGTCCTTTTCAGGACTACACTCCTCCAAGAAAGATTACCGAGTCAGAGTCCTTTTCAGGACTCCTCAAACCTCTCTCTCTCTCTCACACACATGGTGCACCCGCAAACCTACTGTATATCTACACCACCATGCAAGCCGACACTTATAAGCAGCATCTAAGAAAATAGATCTGTTGGATGAAGATTATAAATAGCAAAGAATGTAAAGGGCATACCTTTACGAACTTAGGAAGGGAGTAAAACAGTACCTTCACAACCGAACACAAAACATACGCAGACAGGTACATTACCGGCGGAGACATTTTTGTTCAACTGTTGATAAATCTGGAAACGGAAGACAAAGGAAATTTGATATATGCTTTGCAATCTTTATTCTCTCATTTTCTTTCGCATTTAAGAAATACAAAAGGGAGGACACCAATGACTAGCTTTGATTGAAGCTATGCAACCACTATTTTCTCGCCTCCTTTTGCATTTTAAATGGGTTTTTTTCGCGAGAGTTGTCGAAGCTGTTGTATAAAG